TGATAAAAATACTTTTTTTAAACAGTTAACGTACGATTTCTTTTCAATACATCACCCGATTTTGATGCAGTTTGCAGCAATCAACGTAGTTTTTTAAATTAAAGAGCTGATTAGATTCTGGAATTGATCGTTACATCTGCTTGAAAGCTGTTAAAAAAAAGTCTTTTTAAATTTATGAGGAAGTCTAAGTTTCGCTGAACCTTATCGAATGACGCGAATGTCGTTCAAATCAGTGGAGTCGCTCAAAAGTTATGAGAGGTTTACACTCACACACGCACACACATACACACATGCTGATAGAAATCCTCGTAGGAATATGAAGAGCTACTTCCTATAGAACCTTAAAAATATGGCGATCAAATTAGAACTTGATTTTTGAAAACTGGCATAGAACCAATGACTTCCCGATTTTTTTTTTTTACATCAGTTATTTATAAAGTGAGAAATTAAAAATTTAGAGAAGGAAATCTTCGATGTGAAAAAAAATTTATTATGATGCACAATGACGATAAAAATTACTGATGTAGAAAAAATTAGAAAAAAAAAATTTTTTTGGTTTTTTTATAAAAAAAAATTTTTTTTCTCTGAAATTGTAAGAAATGACGTTAAAATATATTTTGGAAAGCTGAAAGAGCTTTTTGGAAAAAAAAAATTTTTTTACGAAATTTTGGGGGTACCCCATTTTGCCCCTCCCTCCCCTATATATATGTATATATCAAAAATATATAAAAAATGCATGTGGGTACTTAAATGAAAGCTCTTAATGAGTGTGACATCAGAATGAGCTTACATTTTTGAAAATATTAATAATTCAGAAAAGACATTTCTGAACTATTCACATTTTTAAAGATATAAATTCACCCAGACATTACACTCATCAAGACCTTTCATTTGAGTACCCACATCAACTTTTCATATATATGTGTATATATTCACATACAAAATAATTTAAAAAATAATTTTTTGGGACTTGGATGATATTTCTCGATTAGTTTCTAAACAGAATCTATATAGATTTTTTCGATTGCGGCTAACGAAAGGTATTTAATTTAATAAAAATTTATAATCAAAAATATCTAATAATAAATACTCTTCATTCTTAATATTTTGTATTTGAGTAAGCGTTATTTGTATCTCAAATGAAGTTCCTTTTTTTTTTTATTTATTTAGAAGTGCGAATTTAACTTCTCGTTAAGAAGATAAGAAATTTTCAAAAATTAGTAATCGCTAGCCTGCACCGAATAAATCGGTAGCTTGCACCGAAAAAATCGGTAGCCTCTACCGAAAAAAAATCGGTAGCTGCTACCGATCGCCAATCGGTAGCATCTACCGATTATTTTTTTCCGTGTTCATGAGAACACCATCGGAATTCCAACCAAACACCGTAACGATCTCAATTAATCACCAATTAACCACTATCGTCTTCATGTGTCACAACTGCACACAATACTCCGAGTTTACTCCCCATATACGCCGACTATACTCCGTCATAAAATGCATCATCAGCGAAGTAACGGAAATCGCTTGTGATAAGATAGTCATCGGACTCCAGCCTAAACATCGTGAGAGAAATGATTAAAATTTTGTACTGGAAAATCCAGAACGTTACATTATTATTATTATTCAACAGGAATTTCAAGTTATTAATCACAGTAATAAAAATAATAATAATAATAAATTTCTTTTATGAAAAAAACAATTTATAAAATACTTGTATTGTCCTTTTCCAACATAAGGAGTACTGTCATAATAAAAATTAACATCATAAAATCCTCTAGAAAGTATTGAAGAAAAATATAAATCAACATCAACTTTACGCGTCCAAAAACCGACGGTTGCTTTTTTTACATTGTAGTATGACAAATTCTCGACACTAAAGTCATCAAACGTACCTTTGAATCTAATTAAAAAATTTAACAATTAATTTATATTATTAAAAATCAAAAAATAATTTTTTTTTTTTTTGTAATTAAACAGAGAATATAAGTATGATTGAATTACGAAAGTTTATTATCATTGTATTGAAATTTTTGTTGACTCTGTTCGTAAGGATCGAAAACTGGACTGCCATATCTCATAATTTCTCTTAAATCATACTCCAAAAAATTATACAACTGTGAACTCAAGCTTCGCACCAATAATAAAACCGTCTCTAACAAAAAAAATATTTTATAAAATAACAAATTTATAATTAAGATAGTAAAAAAAAATTCTTACCATTTTTAGTTTCAATCGATGAACCAATCACTTGGTTTACAACCAAAAGTGTAACGAAGATAATTATTACCTTCATTTTAAAATATTGATTTTAAATAAAAAAGTTTTAATTATTAAGTCTTGGGTGAATGTAAGGAAAAAATTTTATAAACTGACTTAATAATAAAACTATCATTCCATTTATAACAGATGTTATCAACTGATAAAAATGATTTATGATTAGTATTGACTATCCGGATCAATCTATCGATTTTTTTTTTATCATTCAATAATCAAAAAAATTTGTAACAATCAAATCAAAGTCCCAATTCTATAATGTAAATATATAAAAATGGTACTGAGTTCAATTTAATATAAAAGCTAGTTCAGTTTCATTTTTTTCGGGTAGTTAGTTTAGTATTGAGCGTGTTCCGCCGAACTAAGTACTGAGCAAACTTAGTAAGATATCTTAGTTTTCCAACTACAGCACTAGAGCGCATAATGCGGCATTGTGCGCAGCTTAGAGTGTTCCAATAACAGCAACGCTTCGCACAGTTGGACACTCAAAAAACCTTTGCTCAGGGATGTTATGCGTGAGAGTTACCAACGAGTCTACATAAAATTAAAAGTATTTTTTTTTGTATTGAGTTGGTATAATTAATGTTTATCTTATTATCTATCAAAGTTATTATTTTTGACAATTGTAAGTGTATTTTATTATTGTTGATAAATAATTATTATTGCAATAAAATTAAATATATACAATAACACAAATTATATTTAACTATCATATTTTTATATCTAATATTTAATTATTGATGACTAACTTAAGCGAATTTATATTCTTTCTATTCTTTATCTTTATAAAATGAAATCATTTTTTAGATTTTTATATATTTGTAAGCATTGTCATGATATAATTTTGAATTAGCTGTTTAACATGAATGTTTTCAAAGATTTTAAAGATTTAAATATACAGGTAAACAAATATTTAGATTTTTAGATTGCCAAACTTTCGAATTTTTGTTCAAAACGAAGCAATACCAACGCGATCTACTGCTGCATTTCTTAACTAATCTGTTTCAATTAAACTTGTGCTAATGCGGCACCGTGCGGCAATGAGTCCCATTGTGCTCTCGTAATTGGAAAACTACCAACATCATCTAAGACAGCAGCATAGCAGACAGAAACTTCAAGACGCACGGAGATCACCAAAGTTAAGCAGCATTGAGCAGGGTTAATAGTTGGATGGATGACCGCTGGTGTGATAACCGTAAAATTATATATGATTATATTTGGCCATTTTTCATATATAATCATATATAACCAATTTATATATAAATATATATAA